CTCAATTTTTGCACCTTACCACCTTCAATACTGATGACCCAATTTCAGAACCTCCACTGTTTGCTGATGATTCGGTAGAACCCTCGGAACCCGAGGCTGGCCTCATTAGTCTCCACGCTTTTTCTGGTCAGTGGACACCTCGCACCTTCCGGATTACAGGGGCAATTAAGGGGTATAAGGTTCAGATCTTGGTGGATAGTGGAGCAACCCACAACTTTATCCAGACCAGAGTGGCTCATTTTCTTCAACTGGCAATGGAACCGACTGCAAGCCCACTTAAGGTCATGGTTGGCAATGGTGATTTTTTGCCATGCTCCACTTTTTGTCCTCAGGTATCTCTTTCCTTGGCCCAGCATCAATTCCCTGTTGATTTATATCCATTGCAGTTATCTGGTACTGATGTGGTTTTGGGAGTTCATTGGTTATCTATGGTGAGCCCATTTGTAATGGACTATAATGGTCCTTTCATGAGGTTTATGTGGGAAAATTCCTTAGTTGAATTGCAGGGAGACCAAGGCCCGGTTCCATCTCCTATTTCGGCCCAACAACTCCAGAAACTTCAAGATACACATAGGTTAGAGGCTTTATTCCAATTAACCCTCGAGCCTTCCCTTTCCCACACACCTACTACTGATCCTAACCACACTACTACTATCCCTTCTTCCACTGAGCAATCCCTACAAAACTTAATCTCTAAGTTTTCTTCCCTTTTTTCCACTCCCACCGCTCTTCCCCCTTCCAGACCCACAGATCATGCTATCAAACTCCACCCAAATTCTACCCCTGTCTCCATCAGACCATACCGATACCCCCACTATCAAAAACAAGAGATCGAGCTTCAAGTTCAAAAAATGCTTGAATCTGGATTCATTACCCCTAGCCAGAGCCCTTTTTCCTCCCCTGTTCTTCTCGTTAAAAAGAAAGATGGAACCTGGCGTTTCTGTGTTGACTATAGGGCTCTCAACTCCATTACCATCAAGGATAAGTTTCCTATCCCTACAGTTGATGAACTCCTTGATGAACTTGGTACTGCTACTTGGTTTTCCAAATTGGACCTTCTTTCAGGTTTTCATCAAATTTTGATGCTCCCTGCTGACTCCCACAAGACCGCGTTTCGCACACACAATGGTCATTTTGAATTCCGTGTAATGCCCTTTGGACTGTGCAACGCACCCTCCACATTTCAGGCAACGATGAATGAATTGTTCCGCCCATTCTTACGTAAATTCATCATCGTCTTCTTTGATGATATATTGGTGTACAGCCCCACATTGGATTCACATATCACGCACCTCACTACTGCGTTTGACTTACTGCTCTCAAACCATTTTAAATTGAAGGGCAGCAAGTGTCTCATTGGCAAGAACTCTATACAATACTTGGGCCATATTGTTTCCTATCAGAAAGTGCAACCTGACCCTGAGAAATTAGATGTTGTTCGTCATTGGCCAGTTCCAAACTCTGTTAAATCTCTTCGTGGTTTTCTTGGACTCACCGGGTTTTATAGAAAGTTCATAAAGGGGTGCTCTTCTATTGCAGCACCACTTACAGACCTTCTTAAGAAGGATGCCTTCTGTTGGAATGAGAAAGCTCAGCTAGCTTACCAAAATCTCAAAGATGTTTTGCTGCAAGGCCCTGTCCTGGCCATTCCATAATTTAATTGCACTTTTGTTGTCCAAACTGATGCATCCGGTGCAGGAATGGGTGCTGTCTTGTCTCAGAATGGCCACCCCATTGCTTACTTTAGCAAGCAATTCTGCCCCAAATTGCGTAATTCCTCCACTTACATTCGTGAGCTCTGTGCCATCACCTCCGCCATTCAAAAGTGGCGCCAATATTTGCTGGGCCATCACTTCATTATTCAGACGGATCAGCAATCAATCAAGGAACTCATGCATCAAACAGTGTTAACCCCTGAACAGCAAAAGTACCTTTTCAAGTTGCTCGGATATGATTTTGAAATTCAGTATAAGCCGGGGAAATCGAACACAGCTGCTGATTCTCTCTCCCGCATGGCCACAGATGAGTGCTCATTCCTTGTTCTTTCCATTCCTCATTTGGATTTTATGGACGCTCTTAAACTGTCCCTTGCTTCTAATGAGAAATACCAGGATCTGAGGACACAGATAACTGCTTCCCCATCTGATTACCTAGATTACTCGATTCATTCAGATTTTATCATCTTTAAGGAACGGCTTTGGCTACCATCTTCATGCCCCTTTATTCCTTTGTTACTCCATGAATTTCACTCATCTCCAATTGCGGGTCATACAGGTGTCGCACGCACCCTTGGCCGGCTTCAAGCCAGTTTCTTTTGGAAGACAATACGCAAGGATGTCCAGAATTATGTAGCATGCTGCTCTGTTTGCCAACAGACTAAAATTCCTACCCAACGCACTCCGGGACTACTACATCCAATTCCACCTCCTTCTCGTTGTTGGGAGGACCTTTCACTTGATTTTATTGTGGGACTTCCCCCTTACAAGGGGTTTACCACCATCCTTGTTGTGGTGGATCGTTTTTCAAAAGGTGCGCATTTCGGCATGCTTCCCCGCTCATTTACTGCAGTGAGTGTTGCTGAACTCTTTGTTAACTTGGTGTGTAAACATCATGGTCTGCCCAAGAGCCTCATTTCTGACAGAGACCCGATCTTTCTCAGTAACTTTTGGAGAGAATTATTCAGATTGAGTGGTACTAAGCTCCGCATGTCAACGGCGTACCATCCTCAAACGGACGGCCAAACCGAAGTTGCAAACAAGGTTCTTCAGCAGTACTTGCGATGTTTCGTCCACCACAAACCATCCCAATGGGGTAAGTTCTTGCCATGGGCTGAGTGGAGCTTCAACACCTCCCTCAACTCTTCCACTGGTTTTACTCCCTTCCAAATCATGTATGGTTTCCCTCCTCCTAGCATTCCAAGTTTCCTCACTGAGAACACCAGCAATGCTGCTGTCCAATATGAGCTCTCTTCTCGTGAAGAGATATTAAGGAAACTGCATTCCAATCTTTCCAAAGCACAGGCAGCCATGAAGCTTTGGGCAGATAATTCACGCCGTGACCTCCACTTTGACATTGGGGACTGGGTTTACGTGCGTCTCAGACCACAACGCCAAGTTTCGGTTACTGGTTCGACATCTGGTAAACTCCAAAAACGATTTTTTGGACCCTTCAAAGTCTCTAGCAGGGTTGGTGATGTCGCTTATGAACTGGAATTACCAGCAACAACCAAAATTCACAACGTGTTCCACGTGAGTTTGCTCCGTCCTCACAAGGGACCTCTTCCTTCCTCTCCTCTACCCCTTCCACCTGATATTTTTGATCATGAACCAGTTTTGGAACCAGCTGCAATTGTTGATTGGAAATGGGACTCTTATGATGATTCTCGTATTCTGGTTCTGGTCCAGTGGCAAGGCATCCCCCTTGAGGAAGCTACATGGGAACCTTAGTCAAGTCTCAAAGCCCAATTTCACCTTGAGGACAAGGTGCTGCTTGAACCGGGAGGAGATGTAAGGATTGCTGGCCCAATCCTTCTTACTGATACCAAAAGGGCTGAAGATGTGGTTACTCTGCAAGGCCCAACTGATACCACAACAATGCAAGAGGGAAGGCCAGCTAGGAATATTCGCCTACCACAGCACCTAGCAGATTTTGTTGTGACACGTCCCACTGCACGTGAGAAGGGGAAAACCGTTAAGGGGAAATGATTGGCAGCAAGGGAATCTTTATTGTTATTTTCCTTTTGTCTTTTTCCTTGTGTAAGGCCGTTGGGCCAATGGAATGCATGATATATAGCATTCTTGTTAATGAAAAGGCAGACAATTGCCAAGTATTATTCACTTTTCTCTCTGATATTCTGTACCTTTCTTTCTGTGCATCTTTTTCTATTCATTCTCTCTACCAGTACCTTTCACAAAACATTACATTGGTGGGAAATCTCTTTATAAAAAGAAGGAACAAAATAAAATAATTTTCTAAAGGAAAACATTCCTAATAAAGTAATAATATTATTAATTAATATAAAAAGTCAAAAACATAAATTAAGATGAGATTTTATTTTTCATAAAAGAATATAATGTTAGAGATATAAATTTATTAACGGTCGAAGATAATACCTGAAATAGTCATTTAATATTTTATTAAAAAATAAATAATTAAAAATAATTACGTAATAAAAGGAATAATTACAAATTTTAGAAGAATAAAAAATATTTTTAATTAAAAGTAAGAATTGATTCATTTAATTATTTTATGATAATTAAAATTATATTTAATTTTATATTTTTTTACACCAGAAATCATCGTAAAGATATATATTCCCTTGGGCCCTACTCATGCCGTCTCTCTTTTATGGTTTGTTGAAAAGTAGGGCCTGTGAGGCCTAACCCACTCACTCACTTTTTGAAGTTTTGCATCTCAATATTACAACACAGTTTCACAGACAAAGACAAATAGAAAAAGAGAAAAAGGACAATGTATTCATACTATATAATAAAACATTTTAGTTGGTTGTCTAATCATAAATTATTGTATATTTTAAGTTACTTAATTTACAAATTATACTAATAGTATTATTTTTATTGTTTAACCGTGTAAAAATTAGATACAAATCACAAGGATTGTATAAGTGATAAATTATAAAAACAAGATTTTTACACGGTTAAACATTACAGGGATTAAAAATAAATTTGTTTTTAAACTAGAAGTTTATATAAATAATTTAGGTTTAAATCTGTTTTTATCCCTCAGAATTAAGATAAATTTGTTTTTAGTCTCTCAAATTTAAAATTATTATTTTAAATTTTTAAAAATCTTGTTTTAGTCCTTATATTCAAAATTATTAGAATTAAAAAAAAAAATTAAAATTTAAGAAATAAAAACAAATTTATCCTAAATTTAACTAATTAAAAGCATATTTAAACCTAAATCATTTATATAACTTTCTATTTTAAAACTCATTTGAGAAAGAATAATGAATTATTCTAAAATAAATGGGGTCTCACATTTTGAAATAGCTGTGGAGGATTTTGCATCAAAACCAATAATGAGGGTGAGCATAGGAACGAATATTCCACCACCACCAACACCTCCTACACTTCCAAATGCAGCTCCAAAGAATCCAACAATGGTACCCACAATAATTTGCCACCCAAATTCTATCTCCTACAAAAATAACTTCCACTTGTCAAGTTTAAATTTAATAAAAATACAAATGTTTTTTTAAATTGTTTTTAGTCTCTTGAAAATTATACACCATTAACAGAACTTAATTAATGTGATAATATCTAATAAATTCTCTAATGAGATTCAAACATAGAAAGTAAAACAAGGTATTTTGAATTATAGAAACTAAAAAATTAATTTTAAATTTAAGAACTAATATCATATTTAAAAAAATGTATTCCTAATTTGTTTGAGACTTTTGGTATATATCTTTTTCAAAAAAAAATTATTTAAGGCCTGTTTGCACACTTTGTGATAAATTTTAATTTACTAATAATGTAATTTTTTTAAAAAATTAATTGTTTTAAATAATCATATTTAAGGCTATTTTAAATTTATTAATGATGCAAATTTTTTATACTTTAAAAATATCATAATTAAACTAATAAAGTTTTCACTTTTGTGATACCAAGCAGCAGCAACAACAATATACACAAGTAAAATTTTTTAATATTTTAATTTAATCGTAATTCATTTGGCAGTGGTAGCGATAGTTACACTAATAATGATCAACATCACAATATCAAAAACAATTGCAATAGTATGATAGCTTTATTTATAATATTTTAATTTAATAGTTAAAATAAAAAAATTATCATATACGCTTCCATGCTATCTAATAATAAGTTATCATATATAATCTTATAAACATATTATTATATGTAACAAGTTTCTTATAATAATTATTTTAGAATATATATTATAAAAATTTTCACGCGATTAACGGTAGAAAAAAAAAAGTGTAAATGTATAAAGCAAACTCTAACATCAATTAACTCACGGCAAGATACGAAGGTTAAGAAAAAAAACTGATCCATCATTTAAAATTACACTCATCAATGAATTAGCTATTAAACTCTAAAGGACTATTTAAAAAAAAATTGATGAATCTGTAAAAAAAAAAAAAAAAGAAAGAAAGAAAGAAAAAGAGTTGATATATATATATTCCTCCACATGCTTTTAAAATATAAATTCTTTATTCAATTCTTTATAAATTCACATTCAATACTTCACCTTTAGCAGTGGTCTAACCTTGATGTTATGCCCTCAAAATTTTTTTTTTACTCATTAATAATATTTTCTAAAAAAATAGTGATTGCTTAGTAATAATAACTACATACTTCACAGTTATGTTTCTCCTCTTTTTTATATGAAGTAGCCTTAATTCCCTTCAAATTGATACTTAACTTTTTTTTTTTTAATGTGTACAATGACAACAAACAAATTTAAATTATTTTATAAAACTACTAAAATTGGTTAAATAGTAAAAATTAGAACAACACAAAAATCTTAAGTTTAAAATTTATTATTATCATTGTAATTTCTGATAAAAATATTATTTTTATAAAAATTAATTTAGAGTCTATTTGAATCTAAATTAGAAATATTTACTATTAGTTGAATTTTAATTGATTCAAGTAATTAAATACTTTCTTTTTTTTGTAAAAATAAAAAAAATTACGATAAATGATCGCAATAAAAGTTAAACCTAGGTCTTCATGTTTTTAATTATCTCAATCCTTCCTCACTCAAGTGCTTAAATATTTGATAGTTATATTAAAATTTACTGATAAATTAAATTAAAAAAAATAATAATTTACTCGCTCAAGTTTGACACACTTCAATTTGAAGGTGAAAATTCACATCCAAGGAATGAAAGACATAAAAACCAGAGAATAGCTTCTGAAGAGACCCAGTTGTTACTTATTCACGTTCTATGGAAACACGCTATAATAACAGTGCGTTCCACACACAGAATCACGTCCCATATACAAAAGCTACCGCATATAGTTTCGTTTAGACGTAGAAAATCACGTTTGTAACGCGTCGTGACCAAACACATAGTAAGTGATTATTGGTCCAAGTAACACTAAACAAATAACCCCTTTGCTTGAATCTGAATGGTGTTTATGGAGAAAAATCTTGTTTAGAAAAAAAAAAAAAACTAACTATGAAATCGATATACTTCTTTTCACTTTTCAAACATATTAGATTCATGTTTTCGTTATTATAATTTTTATAAATAAAAAAAAATATATGAAGTGAAAGGAAAGGACGAGCTTACAGGCCACACGTGTTGATAACCTGATTCCCCTTGTTGCCATAAGAAGTTAACAACTTTGCTAAGAAAAGTGCGTTGGTGTTCATATTTCTGCGTTTCCACCTTCACAATTGTTCTCTCTGCCCAAACAAACACCAAAACCGACGCAAATTGTAACCACATCGTCACCATCCTCTTCCACCCCATTCTCCTTTCTCAACCCAACAACAACAACAAAAGGGTGCTATATATCAAAGACCAACCACGTTATTGTGAGAACTTCACTCTTTATTGGGTGTGAAAAAGATCAGAATAAAAAATGAAAATAACACGTTCATAATTGGGGCGAAGATATAAACAACAACGGGAATATGCAACTGATACTATAAAAGGAAAAAAAATGGAGAATATCAGAAAAGGGAAAGATTCAGGTTCTGGTTATCACAGATTTATGGTCGTGAACAATCAGAACAATACACGACACTGACGATATAAATAAGAGAGCCTACGTTTCAAACGTTGGAGGAAGATATAAGTTGATAATTGAAAAGGTATGGTTCCCTATTTTTTTAGATTTTTAGATTTTTGAATAGTATATCAGCATCTTAGTCGGTAAAATACAGAGTCATATTTATTATACATAATTAAAATTATATATATACATATATATAAATATTATATATAAATTTATAAATCATATTTAAAATTTATGATAAATAATTTATATTATAACAAAAAATTATTTTTATTTATTGATAAATTATTTCAAAATATTAATATTTAATTCATAATAATTATGATAAATAAAATTAGATTAGAAAAGAAATTTAAAAAATTCTTACAAATATGAAGAAAAACTCATACAAACAATTCGTATAAAGTAAAGGTTCATTTTTAATATATAGAGGCTGATTTACATTTAATAATAATATTTTAAAATCAATTTAACAGATTTATATAAATAATTATTTATTTTAAAAAAATATAACTCTTAAGTTTGGTAATAATAAATAATATTTATGTAAATTAAAAAATTATTTTAATATTAGTATTATTTGTGATTATTATCAAAGTTAACAATTTTATCGTATAACTAATGTACAAAAGTTACTTTGTGCTTCTGTGAATTATTTTGGAAAATGATAAATAATAAAAATTATATAATAATGAGTGATTATTAAAAATATAAGGGTGATCGCTTAAGAAGTAAGAAAAGTTTAGAAAGTGAAATTTATATGAATGGGTTAGAAAGAGCTATAAAAGGGTAAAATGGCCCATGAAATGTGTATATGAAAAAAGCCTATTATCTTTATTAATGATTAGTGGGGTTGAAGCACTTTGTGCCTCTATATTTTATATCTAACAAAAGTATTTAAAAATTATCAATATTTGATAAACTATTTGGTGCTACACTTGGTCCTTAATTCTTAAGGTCTTAGGTTCAAGTCTTGTCTTTGTAAGTCTAATTAATTTTTAATATTATTTATTATTTAAAAATTTAGTGATAAAATTGTCTAAAAAAATATGTATACAGAATCAAATTATTGTCTTTATATATGTTATAGACTAGCGAAAAAAGAAACTTCATGCCTCTTTTATTATAAAAAAAAAGTAGTTATTTGAAAGTGTCTCTCTCTTGTTTTAAAAAAAATTAAAACAACAAAAGAAATAATAGAGGGATAGTTATTTGAAAGAAGGGAGTGGCTTATAATTTATGAAGGAGTAGTTTAAGGATAAAATTGGAACTAAAATTGTACATGAAAAAGACATAAATAAACTTTATCGAATAAAATCATAGAGATTCATAACATCCCTCCAATTGTGGTTAAATGAGGTATAAATTTTTTTGTTATATTAGTTACTTGATACCAATATTAGTTAACACAAATAATAACAACTTTTTGGAGGAGAGAATTTAAGTGGATTTAAGAGGATATTGTGGTGGGGCCATATCGATTTAATCCCACCTTATGGGTGGATTTGTATGAAAAATCATTAAAAAGAGTTTTATTAAATGAGGAGGATTTTCGAAAATAATATTACTAATATGTGTTTTTAAATTAATTAAACATGTGTTATAAATTTATGATGAGTTTTGTGAAAGTATAATATTTATTATACGGGTTATTTTATAGAGATATGCACTTTATTATTGGTTTTAATTATATTTTAAGGGAATAAGGTTGACTTAAAAGGATTTAAGAGACAATATGTCATCGATTGAACTTCTTATCTCATGCTTTTCTCCTTTCTCTCTGAAACTCAAGAAACTCTAGAGGAGAACATAAAGCTTGTCAAAGCGCATCCCAAATTTCATTGTCCTTCATATGGTGTTTATCAAGGTAAGGGGAATGAGTTATCTTGCCCTAAGTGTAAGGATAACTGTTTGGATAATGAGATTGGTCTCCAATTCCTTTGTTGTGATTTTGTTGTTCTACAGGGGAACCTTGGGAGTCCTTGTTTAGTATGAGAAAATCACATAAACATTTGGGCCAGGTTTTGCTCTATAATGGGACCTTGGGAGCCCTTTGATTGGTTGTTTGAAAGAGAAAATTGTCTATCTATATTGAATTATTGATCTTGATGACATATGAATGGTTTTGGATGCTTGTTTGATTTTGTGCACGTGATATTGTGAATCTATGAGATCTCATAATTTATGTAGGAAACCCTTAATTTATAGAGTATAATGAAGATGGATTAAATCAAGAGATTTTTGTGAAATTGATGTATGTCTTTGATTAATTGATGATATAAAAATATAGTTTATGTGTTAATTATGCTTTTAATAAATTGGATATTAAAATTTAATTAATAAAAAATATGATAAATAAAAAATTAAATTAGATAAGAAGTAATAATAATTCCTAAAATCGTTTTCGATGAACATTACTTTCTAAAAACACTTACATGCTAGAGAGTTGTCCATGTTTAATATATATATATATATATATATATATATATATATATATGGGTTGATTTTTAACTTTTATACATTGTCATGATAGTTAAATGTACATTTGAATTAAAAAAAAATCATGGTTAAATAGCACTTTTAGTCTTTCTATTTTTGTCAACATGTAATTTTTGTCTTCATATTTAAAAATAAGGACATTTAGTCCTCCTATTTATTAAAATACGCAATTTTGGTCCTTTAGCCAATTTGATATTGATTGGTTGTTAAATTTGAACATTGTTTGATAGCTTGTTGTTATTTAAGTAATATGATATTTAGTGAGTTGACATGTGAAGATAAAAATCAAAAATTAACATAAAAAATATCTCTATTTTGTATTTATTTTAACAAATGATTGATACGTTTTTTATAAATAAATCTTATTTGCATTAATTTTTTTTTATATTTTTTATCTTCGAATGTCATGTCACTAAATATTACATCACTTAAGTACGAGTAAATACTAAAATTGAATGATTAAAAAAATATTAATTTGGTTGAAGGACCAAAATTTTGTATTTTTTAAAATTGGAGAGCTAAATGTCTCTATTTTAAAATAAAGGGACCAAAGTTATGGGTTAAAAAAAATAAAAGGACTAAAAGTGATATTTAGCCAAGAATAATTTAGAAATTTCATTTATAAATCATTTTGGACTGAGTTTCAGGTGATGGAAGCCAAATTGTGATTCTACCAAGTGTAGAAATCGTCATTGCATCGAGAATAGCTTCATGGAATCAGGTGTGATGTAGGTCAGAGGCTTTTTACCTCGCTAACATCGAAGGAGAAATAGGTAACATCGAACATGAGTTAGAAGGGAATTCTTTGACTTGGTCATGTCAAGCATGGGTTTAGGGGCATCCGACATGATTTCCTTGATATTAGTGACGTTAGGCGTAAGATTGATGATGCTTAGCATGATTAGGTTAGCTGCTCTCTACCTTGACAACATTGAGTGCAAATTGTTTGGCACCTAGCGTGGGTCAGGTAGAGGCTCTTTGCCTAAATGACGTTGGGCATGGGAGGATCCATGTCAAGCATGAGTGAGCTAGAATCTTTCTGCCTCATTGACACCGAGTGTGGGACAATGACACTGGGCATGGGTGTTGAGCATGGGAAGGCCACGTTGGGTGTGATTATGTAGAATGTATTTGAATTGTACATTATTAATTATGTTGTGTTGTTGATGATTTATAAGCATGTTGATGTGTAGTATTGTATGGGAATGTGTAGAAAGCATGTTGTAGAGTTGAATTGTGTTCATAGGATACATGAATTATGTTATTGAGGTGAGTTGTTTTGAGATATGCAAATTATCATGTTGTTATATGAATTTGTGTTGTAAATGCATTATGAATTGAGTTGTGTTCTGTTATTAACTTAGGACTAGATGAGAGGAGTTGTTTTAAAAGTTGAGATATTCCATTGTGTGATATGTGTTGTGGTACCCTATGTTAAGTCTCAATTTTACTTCTTTTTGGATGAGACTTATTGAACAAATCCACTCATCCTCTGAACCATTGCAATATAATTGTTCTCTTTTTGGTTTATTTTGTGTGCAGATATAACTAACCCAAATTTAGCTAACAATACCTTAATACACCTCATTTTTGTGCAGGTATTGAGCTAGAGAATTGAGGATTGAAGATTCTTAGGATTGGAAATCCAAGGAGCTAAGGAGCAGAGCAAAGTAGCTGCGCCGGGCGCAACATTACACGCGCCGGGCTTGAGAAGAACATTGTGCCTCGTCTTTGCAAGCAATATACGTGTCGGGCGCGAGACTGACCGCACCGGGCGTGATCGAGAGAGATAATTTCTCTGGAAGACATTGTGCCGGGCGCAAAAGGAATTGCACCGGGCGTGTACTGAGGCAGGAAGTGCTTAACTTCCCTGGAAGGCCCTGCGCCGGGCGCAAAGAATTATGCGCCGGGCCCGAAACCCTAATCTGACTCCCCAAGCTCGTATTTGAAGGCATTTTCGAGAGTTTCTCCCTCATTCACACAGGGGCGAGTTTTAGGAGCTGTGGAATGGGCGATTGCTCAGGTGTGCCACTTAGAGTCGGAGGTCCAGTACTACTGTCAGGACAGAAGGGTTTGGATATGAGCCTACCACGGCCTTGGCTAGCATCACCAATCCTGATAGAAGGAAGTAGGAGAGGTGAAGAATGGACTCCTCCTTGACTCCTCCTAGGCACGGATCCTCTTCAATGGAGATGAGACCGAGATGATGAACACCTTAGAATGAAGAACACTTGCGGAAGGTAAGGTCTAAACCTTAGAGGGAAGCATCCAAGCTCAAGCACTCAAGGGATTGCACACTTCAAAGAGAAGGAAACTAGGTTTTCCTAAGGAATTGAAGGCACTCTCTATGGCTCTCTCTTAGAACTTCGGTGACTCTTGAATTGGCTGAAAACAATTTCAGAATCTCATATATTCAAAAGTGTTTCAACATGGTAGGAAAAGATACATTTATAGGAGAGAATTTAGGTTAAACTTGGCGGCAACTCAAGTAAGCCTAGTTGGCGCCAAGTTTGAATTTCAAATTTGGATTTGAAAT